TTTGCCAACAGTCTCCAGAACTGTGTAAAAAGTCTGACTTTGTTCTAAGCATTTGTTTTTATTGCTGTCTATGCATTTAATATCAATACATATCAGCTCTCTTGCCCCACTTTGCAGTAGGAATTGTTTTAAAACTAAAACAGGTACCCTAAAAATTGATTGTACTTTAGATGTCAATTCATATATGTTCTTTTAGAGCATGAGTTTATGCATTAAAATAAATGATAGTTTTAATTTAGCATTTCTCATGTGCACTGAAGTCTTAGATGAAACCACTGCAAAATAAAGTATATCATATGTAGTACTGAAATAACTGACTTTTCAAAGACAATTTTTTTTAATTATCATGAAACACAGGTCTCTCACCTTGAAAAGCACACCACGGAAATAAACCAAGCTCAGTTTCATCAATATGTTCAAGAAACTGGTAAGAATCTTGTATTATTGACCACAATGTGCCCTTTTTCCCATTGATGTATCTGGGTTTGGACAGTGGACTTCCAAAGCACAATCCTCCCTACTGAATAACTTTAGTAACTATGACTCATGGTCCCAAAGGGAACTGGGTAGAGTTTCTACATATAATTAGATTTTGCCTGTGGAAATGATGCAATAAGTTTCTAAAATAGTTGAGTGATATACTTACCCTAAACCCTAAAGGGTGATATGCTAGTTACCTGTGAATTCCTTTTTGCCACAGGGACCTACAATAAAACTTGATATTTATCAAGCTCCCTGAGAATAGGATTGTTATCTACATTGAATTAACGTTAATAACAGATTTCAGCACTATTAAGTCCAGTTTTCCAACCTAGAAATATAAGATTAGACTAGACAAATTTATGCAAGTTTGTATAAGACAAGGCCCAGTTTATCTCCCCTATAAAAAAGAAAGGAGATTTACTGCCTTGAAGAGGTGAAAGAGGAGATTTAAGCCAACTGTGACCAAAACTTTGACTATAAAACTCTATATTTATTTTTGTTTTACTGATTGAAAAGGCAGGTCTTCTGCTATTCTTTCCTTTTCTTAGAACACACTACTTTTTCCTAAGGATAACAGCTGGACATGCTTGCAGAAAATTTGGAAAATATTCTCATCCAGAGATCACCACCACCACCATTTTTTCCCAAATTTTCTTCCAGTATTTCTTGCTATTTTCCTAAATTACATAGTGAAATAATTCTATATGTATTTTTGTATTTTGAATCTTATGTTGTGAAAAGATTCCAATAACACTATAATTTCTTCTTAAACATAATTTTTATTAGTTACATAATGCCCCTGGTGCTTTTTATCTGTGTGTAGTCATTGATACTCCTGAGGATGAAGACATTCCAAAAGTTTCAACTAAGTTGTTAAAAAAGCAATTTGAGAAGTCTGCCCAGGAAAAGATGATGTATTCTGACAAAGAGATGACAACCCCAGCCAAACAGATTAAGGTAAGGTAATTTCTTTACACAGAAACATACTGAATGTAAAACCAAGGTAAAATGCATAACATTTTCAAATTATTGGAACTATGAGGTTGATTTTCAACAAAAGGTATCCTGAACCAGCATTTATTCAGTTCCATGAGGAAGATATTAACCTGCAAGAAGAAAGAAGTCAAGTAAAAACTTGTCTCACAGGGGAAAACGAAGGAAGCAAAAATGATGTGTGCTCTAAAGTCAAATAACTAACACTAGATAAAGTAATTAAGTCAATTTTAAATGTCAGGTGCTTACTCTGTTCTGTTTAAAATTCCAAGAAAATAAAACAACCCTCCAAAGAACTTCAAGACCTTTACTATTTCCCTCTTGATTACTCAGTATGCCACATTAAGTAAAGAGAGAAAAATCAAGATTCTATATGAATGTTAAAATACTAAGTCATTAATGTCTTGAATAGGGAATGCAATTTTACCAGTAAAAACGGATTATTAGAAAGATGGTAACAAACATTGACTATGACTCCTAAGTAGGTCTTGAAGTGGAATATATAAGTTTTTCTTAGTCGAGGTGTTGTAGCAGAGTCTTGGTTGTGGACAGATGAAGGGCAACACCTAGGAGGTCTTTGCAACTACCCCATCTTTAAAAAAAATTAATTTTCTCTCCCCCAAAGATTGACAATGCATATGAAGAGACTTTAAAGCCATCAACTGTTATGGGTACCTCTTCTACTTCTTGCATTGCAACCAGCCAGAGGAAGGAAACATCAACCACAAGACACCATGATCACAGTGTCACTTCCTCAACTCTGGCACAAGCTAATGCTTCTTCAGGAAAGATGGAAGAATTTCCTCCTCCCCCACTTGATGCACTTCAAGCTCCAATAGATATGACAGCATTTTCCCAGTCCCCTGAATTCCCCAGCCCTCCTAGAAGATTACCAATACCCAAAGACTTATATTCCAAGCAAAGAAATTTGTATGAATTAAACCGTTTATATAAACACATTCATCCAGAGTTAAGAAAAAACCTAGAAAAAGATTATATCAGTGAGGTTTCTGAGATTGTTTCTAGTCAAATGAATTCAGGGAGCTCAATTTCAGCAGATGTGCAACAAACCCGATATATCTTTGAAAATACTAATGACAGTTCTCAAAAAGATCTGAGCTCAGAAAGAGAATACTTGGAGTGGGATGAAATTTTGAAGGGGGAGGTACAGTCCATTAGATGGGTCTTTGAGAATCAACCATTAGATTCCATCAACAGTGGCTCTCCTGATGAAGATAACATTTCCAAGGGCATTGCTGATCAAGAAATCATTGCTGGGGGGGATGTGAAATATACCACATGGATGTTTGAAACCCAACCCATAGATACACTGGGGGCTCCTTCTTCTGGCACTGAAGAAAATGCAGAGAAAATTCCTGAGCTAGCCAGAGGAGATGTACGCACAGCCCGGTGGATGTTTGAAACAAAGCCATTAGACACGATGAATAAAATGCATCAAAGTCAAGAAGAATCTGCAGAAACTATTATTAAGGACATAACTGGAGGAGATGTCAAGACTGTGAGATACATGTTTGAAACTCAACATCTCGATCAACTTGGACAGCTTCATTCAGTGGACGAGGTTCACTTACTGCAACTGAGGTCTGAGCTCAAAGAAATTAAGGGAAATGTTAAGAGAAGTATAAAGTGTTTTGAAACTCAACCATTGTATGTTATTAGAGATGGTTTAGGTCAAATGCTAGAAATTAAAACTGTACATAGAGAAGATGTTGAAAAGGGGGATGTGAGAACAGCACGTTGGATGTTTGAAACACAGCCCTTAGACACGATTAACAAAGATATCACAGAAATTAAAGTTGTCCGAGGAATATCCATGGAAGAAAATGTTAAAGGAGGGGTGAGTAGGGCAAAGTGGTTATTTGAAACCCAACCTTTGGAAAAAATCAAAGAGTCAGAAGAAACTATCATTGAAAAGGAAACAATAATAGGTACAGATGTCTCAAGAAAGTGTTGGATGTTTGAAACACAGCCATTAGATATTCTAAAAGAAGTTCCTGATACAGATCTTCCACCAC